TTCTAATTTCAACTTCATCACTTATTCTGCTTGACAATGTAAGTCAACCACAAAAAGGTCTTTGCATTCATCAGAGCCATTTAATTTCCTCCAAATTGCTGTTGTTTTGTAGTTATTGTTGTTCTCTCCCCTGGGGACACCTTCCAGGCTGGTGATTTCTCATCCTTCAGCTTTTAGAGGTCATTGCCTCAGAAGTGCTTCTGAAATTCCTCATTCCCACATTCCCCAGTGCATCATGCTCTCTTACGCAGTAATTCATAGGCTATGAAGTGATCTCATTTCTTTTCTAATGTGCTTATTGTGTCGTCCATTCTTCACGCCCTTTCTCTCACCAAGAATAAAAACACTAGAACGGAGAGGCCATACTATACTGTCATTTTCTTTGCCTGGAAGAATACTGAACACAGTTAGTACTCAATAAATGTTAAATGGTTGAGCAATAAATCCTAAATTCAATTATGACTTCCTCTCCCTTTGTAAAAGCTTCCTAAGTATATATCTTTATTTCTTTAGTTGTTTTGTTGTTTTAAGACAGGGCCTCATATGGCCCTGGTTAGCCTCATTATATAGCCAGGAGGTATGACCTTGAATTTAGGATCCTCTTGGGATCCTGCCAAGTTAAAGAGACGTATCAGCACACCTGATCCTAAGAATCAAACTCAGGGTCTCTCAGATGTTAGCAAGCACTCATAAACTGAGACACACACACACACACACACACACATTTCTTCTTTTTTTTAAAAGATTGATTTCTTATTTATACAGCACACCAGAAGAGGGCACCAGATCTCACTATAGATGGTTGCTAGGAATTGAACTCAGGACTTTTGGAAGAACAGCCAGTGTTCTTAACTTCTGAGCCATCTCTCCAGCCCCTCTCCTTTCTTTTAAAATTTACTCTGATCATAACTTCTCTCCACCTACCTACAATATTAAATATACACTCCAAATTTTAGAATTCAAGGCTCTCAAAGCTCCAAACCTTCCACCCCTAACACTTCCTTTTAACAAACCTTACACAACCAGAATCTGAGCCAAATGGAACTATATCTCACAAAAATGGCTCCAGTTTCTCAATTCTGGCTTTTCTTGCTCCTAGTGTTATCTTTTACAATTCATATCCCTGTCTCTACATATAAATTATCATTTCTTTCATGAAAGTCAACTTTCATTATTCCCCTTTCTTTTTTTCAGCCCCACATACTTTCTTTGAAGTCCTATTATTTTAACTCTTGTTCAATACAGCTTTCTTACTTCTTTTGCCTAAGTGGTCCTGTAGGCAGAGCTTGTTTTCTTTGGTCATTTTGGCAGCACTGAGGCGGCACCTAGGGCCCTCATTCATGTTAGCAAGCACTCCACCACTAAGCCGTACGCCCACCCTGCTTTAGTGTTTTCAGTGAGTTTGGGTGTTTGCCTGAGTGTGCATCTGTGCACCATGGGCTTCTCTGGTACCCATGCAGGCCAGAAGAGGACATCAGATACACTAGAACTACAGGTACAGATGGTTGTAAGCTGCCATGTGGGTGATGAGTAATGAACCTGGGCCCTCTAGAACAGCCAGTGCTCTTGCCTACTGAGCCATCTTTCCAGCCTCTCTGCCCTTCACTTCTTGTTTTATGATAGTCTCAGTAAGTAACCCAGGTAAGCTTAAAATTATAATCCTCCTGCCTTTGCCTCCCAGGTGGAGGTTACAGCAAACAAAAGTTTTTAACTTGTTAGATGCCATGTGTAACTAAATATCACTGAGATTAGCTGTTTATTTAACTGAATTAAGTCCATCATTTGACTGCCTAGCATAACCAATGAAGGGACAGCTCAAATGTCATTTCCTCTGAGAAACTTCTCTGTCCTTCTTTCATTTAGTCTATCCTTTATTCAAATATTTACTGAAAACCAACTATTTGCCATATCTTTTCTAGATGGATGAAAACCTTAAAGCAAATGTACAAACAAAACACACTCTAGAATCTAGGCTCAACTGGAATTGTGTAAGTGTATCAACAAAAGTAATACAATTTTTTCTTGTTTATTTTTCTTGCCAGTATCTATCAAATAATGAATGGATAACTAAAATATACACATACAACAGAATATTATCCAGCCTTAAAGGAAATAAATTTTAATCCATGCTGTAACATATATGAACCTTAAAGATGTTAAACTTAATAATGATAAGCAAAGTAGGTACAGTGGCACATGCCTGTAATTCCAGCACTCTGGGAGGCAGAGGCAGGTGAATCTCTGTAAGTTTGAGGCCAGCCTGGTCTACAAAGTGAGTCCAGGACAGCCAAGTCTACACAGAGAAACTCTTATCTCAAAAAATAAACAAAAAAAAACAAAAAAAGGATAAACAAGACAGAAGGATAAATACTATATGATTCTATTTATATGAGGCATCTAGAATAATAAAATTCAGAGATAGAAAGTAGAACAATAGTTACAAGAGTTAAAAAGAAGGAGTTGGCATAGTAGAGGACATTTTTAGTCCAAGTACTTGGGAGGCAGAGCAAGCAGACCTCCGAGTTTGAAGCCAGCCTAGTCTACAGAGCAAGTTCCAGGACAGAGTTGCATATATAAGAGACCTTGTCTCAAAAACCAAAACAAACAAAGAGAAAGAGGAAAAAAAGGAGAAACTGGAAGAACTCTAATGAAACAAGGCATGTTTGTTTATCCTACTCCGCTATTACTCACTTGGATTATAAACTCAAGGTAAATCCATGTCTTAAGGATATCAATATTCTTGATCCTAAATATTTTCTTTATCCCAATGAAAAGATAATCTTCTAAATTTTACTACTGTTCAACAATAAAAGGTACTATATCTCTGAAAGAAGACCACAAAGCCCTTTTTTGAGTAATGTTATTTAAGGAATTTCTACATCTGGAGAAATCCATAGAAGCTAAGAAATACTGACGATTCCGTTAATTTTCTAAAACTATTTCATTAATATATATGTATGAGTGTTTTGCTTGTATATATGTATGTGTACCTCAAAGAGGACTGCTTCCCACCAAGGTCACAAGAGGATGTCAGACCCCCTAGGACTGGAGTAACAGATGGTTAGGAACTGCCTATGTAGGTGCTGAGAATTGAACACAGGTCCTCTGCAGCCAGTGCTTTTAACCACTGAGCTAACTTTCCAATCTAACTCCTTTGGTTGGTTGGTTTGGTTTGGTTTAGGTTTTTTTGAGACAGGTTTTCTCTGTATAGCCCTGGCTGTCCTGGAACTCCCTCTGTAAACCAGACTAGCCTTGAACTCACAGAGATCCACCTGCCTCTGCCTCCTGAGTGCTGAGATTAAAGGCATGTGCCACCACACCCAGTATTCCTAAACCCTTTTAGCATCAAATCCTAAAGGTGGTCCTAGACTAGGAAGCACTGCTTGCCTTTGTTCCTGAAGAATACGGCAACTTCAGCTAAGTTATATAACTTTGAAAAAGTATTCCATGTATTTATTTAGTCACTCTGTGTGTGTACATGCTACTGAGTCTATGTAGAGGTTAGGGAACAACTTGTAGAAATCAGTTCCCTTCTTCTACCATGTGTGTCCAGTAAATCAAACAAATTGTCAGGCATGGCAGCAAGTACCTTTACCTGCTGAACCATCTTGCCAGCCCACAGGCATCTCTCTTTCGCATAATATAAATGTTATTGGCAGGTGGGTATGACTAAGAATTTGGGGATAAAATAGCATTTCAGTAAGACTTAAAACATTTTCTAGAGCCTGGCATGGTAGCACATGCCTTTAATTGCAGCACTCAAGAGGCAGAGGCTGGTGGGTCTCTGAGTTCAAGGCCAGAGTTCCAGAAAAGCCACGACTACACAGAGAAACCCTATGCTAGGGGGAAGGGAGGGTGGAGTGGGGGCGGGGAATTTAGAAGCCCAGTGAGATGGCTCAGTGAGTAAATGCATTTACTGCACAAGCCTGGTAACCTGTTTTCTTCACAGTACCCTGAAGGTGGAAAAAGAACTGACTGTACAAAGTTGCCCTCTGACCTCCACATGTGTGATGTAGCATGTGCGCCCACACACACACACACCTTTAATCCTTTAATTCCAGTACAGGAAGGCAGAGGCTAGTGGATCTCTTGAGGTCAAGGCCAGCTTGATCTAAATAATGAGTTCCAGGTTAGCCAAAGCTAAACAGTAAGTAAGACACTGCTTCAATACAGAAGAGCGAACTGGGGAGGTAGCAGTGTAGCGGCCGAGTTCTTGCCTAGTCCAATAAAGCCTTTATAGAATGAGTGAGTGAATCACTAATATTACACAAAATAACAAAACTTTATTACAACTAGGTGATTTTAATATTTTATTTTTATTTTAAATTATACATATATGTTTATAGAGGTCAGAAGAGGGCATCAGATCTTCTGGAGCTGCAATTAGATGGTGAGCCAGCTCTCCAGCATACAATTATGTAATGCTAATGCTTAAAGTTAAATGTTGAAATAGCCAATGAAGTTTTTTTTTAACCTGTTTTTAATATATGTCCCATCCTTATAAATATATCATCTCTCTGTCATTTATAAAATACTAACATGTCTACGCAGGAGGTAAAACACAGGCCAGAACTATTTTACTATCTACATATCCTAATCTGTCAGAACTATGCTGAGTTCTACTTCCTAAAGCCCACATTAGCAAAAAGTTCTTAGAGAATTAGGCTCATTAATAACCTTGCGCTATACCCATGAATTGTACTTCATTAATGAAATAAAAGAAGAGATAGATAATGTATTTATTCCCTAACATTCAGGAATTTTAGCCTTTTTATTTTATTGTTAGACATATTTAAAATACAAAATTAAAATAAGTACCATTTTATGTTTAAATATTTTAGGTCTAGAAAAAGGATCTTAAAGTTAAAAATGTTAGAAAAACTAAAAATTATATATCTAAATTAAATAAAAATATGAAAAATACTTAAGATTTAAATGAAATACAGAACTGTGCATGTGCTCATGCTAGGAAGGAACCAGTGAAAGGCAGAAGTACTAACCTCAGGGTCAACGTGTAGTCCCCCTGCGCTTTTGTTGAGGCATCACGAACTAAGAAGGTGCCATCTGGCATGTCCCGTAATTTGTCATTTACCTCTTCCCTGAGAAGCAAAATTATAGGAAACATTTGAAAAAGAAAAAAAATTAAAACACTGGTTGTCTTCACATATTATTTATTATCAAGACATGATGAAAGGTTACAATACCCTCAAGTCTCCAGCGTTCACTCAGGTCCTCTCCATAGAAACAATTTTTGTTTTTATTGCTAGTATTATGTAATCTAGGGAAAGACTACTTGATGCTCAACTCCTCCAGATTCCAACTGTCTGTACAGATCATGTTTCTAATGGGCTGTTGGGGCTTTCTTAGGCAGGTCTGAACATGAAGAGCTTCAAGAAACCCCACAGCTGCTTAGGAAGAAGGTCATTGTTTTAAGCAGCAGTGGCAGCTGATCCTGAACAGAGGGGAAATTTTACTGAAGTCCACAGCCTATCAATGCCATGCTTTCTAATTTGAATTAATATTAACAATAAATTCCTTCTGTAGTTTAGGAATTTCAGAAACATTCTTCAGTGGAATGTAGGACAGAGAAGATCCTTGAATTATAGTAAAACACGATTTTAAAGTATAGCTTAAATGGCACTTAAATATTTTAAAACTTATTGTATAATACTAAAAATTGGTCTACTGAATTTTAATATAAAATATATTAAGTCCTTCTCAAAAAGAAAACACAAAATTAACAAACGATCTAGCAATCCCACTTTTGGGTAAATATCTAAAATCATCAAAAGCAAGAATTCAAGCAGCGCCAGTCCTGGTGGTACACGCTTTTAATCCCAGCAGAGGCAGAGGCAGAAGCAGGCAGATCACTGTGAGTTTGAGGCCAACCTGGTCTACAAAGCAAGTCCAAGACAGCCAAGGCTACACAGAGAAATGCTGTCCTAAAAAAAAAAAAAAAAAAGAAAAAACTCAAGCAGCTATTTACTTATAAATAATATAACAGCATCATTCACAACAGCACCAAAGATAAAATGAATAAATAATATAAATGTCTACCAAATACCCGTATTTAGATTAATAAACAAAATATGGTACTTACAAATATTGGAATTATATTTAGTCTTAAAAAATGAAATTCTGACACATGAATGGATTATGAAGATATCTGAAATAAGTGAAAATCCAGATCAAATGTAGACTATTACACAATCCTACTATCTACAGTAGTTACAGACAGAAGATAGAATCCTGGTTAGGAAGGAGACCTTCTGCTTTACAGGTAAAGTTTCAGTTAGGAAGATGTAAATGTTCTGACGACAGATGGTAATTATGTGAATATACCTAATAGTGTGAATATACCTAATAACAATGAAATAATACACTTAAAATGGTAAGGGTAAAAAGAAATGGAATGGGTACCATTTAGTAGAAGGGAACACGACAGGTAAGAGAAAGAAAGAAGATATATTAAGGTACTGCAGCATCAAACTGGAGCCTGTTTTAACACAAACAGTTGGGGTTAAAAAAAAAAGAAATATAATAGATGTGCATGGTGTTGCAAGCCTGTAAACTCAGGAGACTGAGGCAGGGGAATTAAGTCAAGGTCAGCAGGGTCTACAGAGCATGCTTCTAGCCAGACTGGAATGCATAGTGAGACTCTGTCTCAAACAACAAACCATTAGAGACCCATTAAACTTTAATGAGAAAAAAATATAAATAGATAAAATGTTCAAATTAAGAAAAAAAATGTATGAGTATACATATATTCCCTTTGTGTTCCAAACTATCCAAATCCACATTTTACCCAAAAAGCAGATCTGTCCTTGATGTCTATTTCTGAGAATAAGCTATATAAAGAAATCACAAAAAGAAGTCATGAATTTGAAAGAGAGCATAGAGGTACATATGGAAGTTTGGAGGGAAGAAAGGGAAGGGGAAAACAATGTGATCTCAAAAACTAAATAATTATTTTAAAACTGCATCAAACCGGACAGAGTGCCACATGCCTTTAATTCCTGCACTCAGGGGGGCAAAGGCAGGCCAATTCTGTGAATTCGAGGCCAACCTGGTCTACACAGAGATTTCCAGGACAAGCAAGGCTACACAGAGAGACTCTTTCTCAAAAAACAAACAAACAAACAAACAAACAAAAAACTGCACCAAAATTAGCTAATGATGGGTATGAGGGAATTTACCTATAATCCCAGCACTAAAAGGGCTGAGGCAAGAGATCTAAAATTTGAACCAGTTCAAAGTCAACACTGATTACAAAGCAAGACCCTGCCTCAAAGGTACTTGGGTTCCACCTCAACTGACACTTGTGAATGTAAAAATTTTAGAACCACTGCCTTAGAGTGAAAAAGGTAAAGGAGCCAAGCCAGGTGGTGCAGGCCTATAATTGCAGTTACTTGGAAGTCTAAATGAGGAGGATCCCAAATTCAAGGCCTGACTAGGTTACAAAGAGAAGAAAGGAAGGCCAGGCACGGTGACACACAGGAGGCAGAGGGGGATCTTTGTTAGTTACATATTGAACTCAGGCCAGCCAAGACTGCAGAATGAGAGCCTATCTAAAAAAGAAAACAAACAAAAGGTAAAGGAAATCAAAGTACCTAAAATAAGGGTCCTTTATTCTAAATCACATGTCACTATCTTAAATGTATAAGGATTATCTATTCAAAAGTTCATCCTTGACACATATGGAAAATACAATCACACTCATAAGCCAAAGTGTTCCCCGTTGTTTCATCGTGAAAATGAACGAAGCTTTTGTTTTAAAAGAATGTTTTACTATATATAGGTGTTTTGCCTGTATGTTTGTCTATGCATTGCATGCATGCAGGGCCTGTGGAGGCCAGACGAAGATACTGCATTCTCTGGACCTGGAGTTATAGATGGTTGTGAGCCTCCATGTGAGTGCTGGGAATCAAGCCCAAGTCCTCTCCAAAAACACTTAAAGACTCTTTTTAATTTATTTCTTTATTGTGTGTGTGAGTGTGTGTGTGTGTGTGAGTGTGTGTGTGTGTGTGTGTGTGTGTGTGTGCTGACATGCCACAATGTATGTGAGGGTCAGGGGACAAGTTGTGAGGTCAGTTCTCTTCTTCTACCTTAAGGATCCAGCAGATTGAACTTAGGTAATCAGGCTTGGCCACAAGCAACTTTAAATCTCTGAACTACCGTACCAGCCCCTAAACACACTTTTGAAGGGTTCACACACACAATTTTTAAAATGGTAGTGATAACTAATAAAGCATTAAAATGTTTAACTACTAACTCATAATCAATTAAAAACACTGCATTTAATTATGGTAGCATTTTAGTTACCTGGAAATATCTCCCCAGTACCATTCTGCATCTTGAAGAGTAATACAACTGTCCTTCATTCCATTTGTAACTGCTGAAGTCAATGGCTTAGGTGGCTTTGGTGGAAGAGCTAGAAGAAAAATTTGTTACTTTGTATATAAAAATTATTAATATTCTAATTTCCCCATCCAGAAATAGCTCCTTAACCAATATGAAACAAGATTCTAAAAACTGCCAGTCAAATCAGCTACCATGTCAGTGTTAGCCAGGAGGGCATTTTTGAGGCATAAAGCTTTTGCCTCCTCAGAAAATACTTTTACTTCAGAAAAATTGCATATCTTCAAAACACAAGTAAAGCTCCAACCTGAGCAATTCATTCTAAAAGCTATTAAAGGACTAATACAACAGGAAGACTCTAGCTAATACTAATATATGGATATTAGCAATATGCCACCGTATTAGATTTTAGGTCTTCTTATTCTTCCTGAGATGGGGGTCTCACTGTGTAATCCTAACTGTCCTGGAATGCACTATATAGACCGGGGTGGCTTGCAGGTAAGGTGTGTGTTGAGCTAGTCTGGTAATCTAAAGTCCAAGTTGCCAGGGACCACATAAAGGTAAAGAGAACCATCTTTTGATTATTACATACATACTGTGACTTGCACATATACACACAATTTAGAAAAAAAAAGATATACACATGGCCAAAGCAAGCATATAAAAAAGATGTTCAACATGTCAGTCATCAAGAAAATGCAAATCAAAATCAGAGAGACAGGGCAAGATTGTACATGTCTGTATTCCCCAACATTCAGGAGACTGAATAGGAATTTGAGGTCAGCCTGAGATACATATATATTACCAGGCCAGTTTGAGGTATATAGTTTTTAAAAAACAGTGTCCAAAAACAAACAAAAATTTCATAATGAGCAAATGGTAGTGTCATATGTCTTTAATCCCAGCACTCAGAGGCAGAGTCAAGTGGATCTCAAAGTTCAAGGCCAGCCTGGTCCACAGAGCAAATTCCATAACAGCCAGAGCTACACAGAGAAACAAACCCTGTCTTAAAAAAACAAAACAGAAACAAAAATTCCATAGTGAGACACTATTTTATACCCATTAGAGCAATTATAATTCAAAGACAGAATAGCAAAAGAGCGAACATGGAAGGAAGGCACTCCCCTATAATGAGTTTCTTAAAGAACAGCCCGACAGTCTTCTCAAAGGCCAAACAGTCACCTGATGGCTCAACAATTTTACATATTCAAGAAAAATGAAATATTATTTCTACAGAAAAACCTGTATATAATGTTTATAGCTGAACTTGTAATAGCCAAAAAAGTGGAAATAATAAGAGTTTATATCGGGAGTTGAGACAAGTTGTGATTTATATCTATATAATACACTGTTATTCAATAATAAAAGTAATGAAGTAGTGATACAGAGTAGAACATAGATGGGCTGAAAACACTATGATCAACATAAAAGGCCAGTCATTACCACAGGTGCAAAGAGAACTTCATTTCTCCAAACTCCAAAAGGCAGAAGGGACAAATGTGTTGCCCATTACCATACCCAAGTGCAGGCTGGCCTCCAGGCTCCATCAGTACCAAAACTACCTGTTACATACTTCAAGGTCTATGCTGGCATCTTAGCTCTTCTCACCTCACCTCTACCCTAACGTCTCTCCAGCTAAGGAGCTTCCCTCCCTGAACTACTCATTCTCCTTATAACCCCTCTAGCTCAGCTTTGCTCTCTTTCTTCTTTCTGATCCCCTCCTGTCTCTGTCTGTCTCCTTTCTCCCTTTTCTCCTCTCTTTGCTCTCTAACAATCCCCTGACTCTAATCAAGCAAGCCGAAAACTGGCATAAAAAAACAAACAAACAACAACAACAAAAATAACTTCAAGTTTCTGAAGAAAGAAACTGAAGAAGTTATCAGAAGATGGAAATATCTCCCATGCTTATGGATCAATAGGATTAACACAATGCTCCTGATTCTCTCATGGCCAGCTCCAGTCTACTACTGTTCTCTCTGTGCTCTGGACTCTTCCAGGTGCCTCCAGTTTCTCTCTCATATCTACAATAAAAACCTTCTACTCAACCATATGTAAAACCATGTCATCATGTCGTCTGTCTATATAGCTGGTGCCAAGACACCCAGGAAGGGAATAAATAGACCCTTTCCAAGGGTCCCAGCCTCTCCTAAGTGAGCCATGGATCACTAGCTTCTGCCACCCTCCAAATTTTAGAGAATGCCTCCTCAGCTTCTTCCCTCCAGCTGCTCTCTCAGGTACTCAAGACTTGCATGCGCCACTATCATTTGCTCAGGTCACCTCAGAGTTGCCGTCTCTGTCTCTGTCAGCTCCTGGAGCCTTCTACTCTTGCCTCCTTGCTCAGCTCCCTCCTGCAGCTCACTCCACCTTTACAAAAGTCACTCTTGATGGAGAGATGGCTCAGAGATTAAGAGCACTGGCTGCTCTTCCAGAGGTCCTGAGTTCAATTCCCAGCAATCACATGGTGGCTCACAACCATCTGTAATGAGATATGGTACACTCTTCTAGCATTCAGGTGTATGCAGGCAGAACATTGTATACATAATAAAATAAATAAATCTTTAAAAAGAAAAGAAAACCACACTTAATTAAAGAAAAAAAGTGGCTCTTGTGCTCCAGGCAGGTTCTCTTGCCTTCATGGGCACCCATCACATGGAAAGAGACACCACTCCTTTGTGATATGACACACTTCTCTCTGACAAGTCTCTGGGTGCACCTGGGGATACCAGATTGAAATTCATGTCACAGGACACTTACCTTTCTCTCTCCCATCCTTGCTCTCCCTCCCCACATGTTCTCAGCTCACTCCTGGAGCTTACTCTGTCACTCTTGCCTGTCTTCTTACTCTGATCCTGGCTGCCTCCTAAAATCTCTTTTTCTCAGACATTCCATTAAGCCTAGATGTCTTACTGCAAATGGCTTGGCCTCAATAGCTTACAGCCAAAAATGGCATACTAGATTTCTAAATTCTTAGATTATAATTACTTCTCCCACTACACAAACAAATCTCTTATCTCTAAACTTTCTCTGTTCTCCACTGTCTTTTTTCTACGTCTTCCTTATTCTACTTGTTATCTTTCCCTCTGATTGCTAAATTCAGTTCTCTGTGTATCCCTGGATGACCTGGAACTAACTCACTCTGTAGACTTGGCTAGCAATGAACTCAGAGATCTGTCTGTCTCTGCCTCCTGAGTGCTGGGATTAAAGGTGTACACTGCCATGTCCAGCCAAATTCAGTCTTAATAGAGATTTAAAAGTCTTCTGATAAATGGAATTTCCTTTGGACCTGACAATTATGATTCCATTGTCCACAACAGCCAAATTGACAGAGAGAAAATATATCAATTTTAACCCAGACTGAGAGATTAAGGAGTGACTGCTAGTGGATACAAGATTTCTTGCAGGCTAATATTTCAATTTTGACTGTGATGATAGTTGTACAACTCTGAATATACTAATTTAATATACTAATTTAAGAATCCCAACACTGAACACAAGCCAGAGTGGTGGCACACGCCTTTAATCACAGAACTCAGGAGGCAGAGGCAGGCAGATCTTTGAATTCAAGGCCAGCCTGGTCTACAGAGTGAGTTCCAAGATAGCCAGGGCTACAGAGAAACCCTATCTCACTCCCCCTCCCCCCAAAATCACTACATGCAAAGTCCATGAATTATATCTATAGTATGGTATGTAAATTACATTGTAATAAAGCTTTTTGCTTTGTGATACTAGAAACTGAACATAGGGTCTTGAGCTTGTTAGGCAGGGACTACACTAATACATATTCCTAGGCCCTGAAGGTTTTGTTTGATTGTATGTTAGTTTGATGGAAGGGTGTGAATCACAACTGTAAGACTTCAGAAATTACTAGATAGGGAAGAACTTGATATTATACACACAAGAAACATTTGATAGCACTAGAGATCAAAGCAGAGCCTTGTACAGGTAGGACAAGCCCTCTAGCAATAAGCCACCTCCCCAGCCAATACTCTCTTGTTTGAAAAGGTTTTGATATGGCTTATAAAACTAGCTACAGTTCAAAGTTTAACTTTTCAATTTTCAAAATTCTTCTACTTACCCATTTAACATAAGGATTAACAGTTTAAATATGTTATATCCCTCTCAAATTACAGCACTTTAAACACATTCTTAGCCAGGATGGTGGAGGTGGCACATGCCTTTAATCCCAGCACCCAGAAAGCAGACACAGAAAGATCTGTGGGTTTGATGTCAGCCTGGCCTACAGAGTGAGTTCCAGGACAGTCAGGGCTACATAGAGAAACCCTGCCTCTAACAATAATAACAACAACAAAACATTATTTTATTACAATAAAAAAAGTAAAATATACAACACAATTTGCTAGATATGGATCGGGGCCTAGAAGTCTGCATATCTACAAGTTCCCAGGTGATGCAATTGCTGCTGGTCCAAATTTTACAGAAGTTTCCTTTAGAAAACAACAACAAAGTAGCCTGAACACAGTAGGCAGAATGTAGAAGAGAAGCTACATATGGTTCTTTAGTTCTTCTCTAAATCAATTCCAAATGGCAATAAAACACATTTTGAAAGTTTAAACACAACAGAGTGAAGAGATTCAGCTAGGAGACAACAGAGAACAGCAGCAAAACTAATAAAGAAAAAGAAACAAGACAAATTTGAATTGGTGGAGCTCAAAAAATTAAACACAAGCTTAAAGAAAGGAAATTCAGCCAAAAGCAATATAATTCATCTTATTATACCCTGCAGGAATTAAGAGGTTCAATATGTCTCTGATGAAAAAAATTCAAGAATGGCCCCCAAGGACTGAAGAGATGGCTCAGGAGTTAAAAGCACTGGCTGCTCTTCCAGAGGTCCTGAGCTCATTTCCCAGCAACCACATGGTGGCTCACAACCATCTATAGTGAGATCTGGTCCTCACTTCTGGCCTGCAGGTGTACATGCAGACAGAGCATTCATATACACAAAACACATAAATAAAAAATAAAGAACGGCCCCCAAAACAGAACTGGCTCAGTGTCTACTCAAAGAATAGTTAGACTTCTGTTCTTTTCCCGGTTCCACCAAGTAACCAGGCA